GGTGCCAATGTGAAATTCTTCCTGCAAAAGGGGTGGGTGGGGGCAGGGAGCTATAGGGAAAGAAGGAAGGACAAACACTGCTGGGTCACTGCTCCTGCTAACACTGCAAAGCCCGTTTCCTCTATAAAAAGGCAAAGCAGCTGAGTCAAAAGCCTCCACAGATGCCTGGAGCAGTCTGTGACAGACATCCTTGCAACAGCCATCTCAAAGCCTCCCGTGGAGAAAGTGCCCACTATGAAACTGGCCCTTCAAGCCACACTCTCCCTTGGACTACTGGGTAAGTGACTGCAAGTTCCTCAGAAAGTGGCAAGTCAAGGAACGTGGGAGTGGGAGGCTGCAAGACATAATTAGAGAGGTTCCCTTTCAGCACCCATAACAAGGCAAACCTTTAAAGCAGTGTGGTCTTCATTCAAATTGCTTCTTTTTTCCACATAAGAAATAAAACCGTTGAGCTCCAAAGCCTCAGTAAAACAGTAGGTTAAGCCCCTCATGTAGAGAAGCCCCTAGAAGCAGTCATCGCCATGAACCAGTGATATTATTTCCCACTGACAGCTTACAGCATTTGAGGCATGCAGAAAAAAACCCTGATGTCTCAAGAGACTACCCTGAACTTTTGCTCTTGTTGAAATCCAAAGGCTTTTCACCCAACGCTTTCAGTCTTCAGCCAGCACAGGGTGCTGTTACGCAGGGTATGATGAAGGCAGCAGAGCAGGAAGCCGACATCAACTGCTGGGAAGTTCTCCAGTACCACCAAGTGAATATCTGTGCGAGAACATGGTGATGCTGTCATACAGCCATGCCCATTCCATAAGTCTCATGCAGGGGAACTTCTGGGTGGAGGCTTCCCCAGGTAGAATTAAGGGCAGAAGCAGCTGCTTTTTGCTGAGCCAGCCTGAAGGTTTCATTCAGGTTGCATACACTACCTGGCAGGTGCACTCTAGGCTCTCAAGCAGGATGGATGCTTCCGCCCCTGTAGCTGGAGACCCTGGGGAATGGACTGGGGACATGCACATTGTGACCTGGCTACCGTCTTTCACCAAACTACTGCTGAGCTAGGCATGATTATGGCATGGCTGCAGTTAAAAGATCAAGTTCTTAAAATGTTATTGCAGTCTGCAAGGGAGGGACTTCAAAACTGGAATGGTGCTGAGGGGGGTAAGCCTTCAGTCTGCTATGCATTTGCCCCCAAATAAAGCTCCTGCCGGTGCTCTGAATGTGCGTTTGACAGCCATGTGGTGAAGGGGTGTCAGACTGAGATTCGGGAGATTTAGGTTCCGGTATGGCTTCTTTGGCCATGAAGCTCATGTTAGGCCAACTGCTGACTCTCAGCCTAACCTTCCTCATAGGGTTGTTGTGAGGATAAAATGGGGGGGGGGGGCTTGTGTAAGCTACAAATTAACTTGATCATAAATAAATAATAAATGTGTATGGGCCGCATCTTGACTTCCTGCCTTATGCATTAAAATGTCTCAGGTGGGCTGGGCGGGAGAGTATGGAAGGGTCTGTGCTGTTGACTGCGGTATGTGATACACTGGTAACATGAGCGACTTGGCTTTTGGCAGCTCAGCTGAAATTCAGTATGGGCTGAACAAAAGGCATAACAGCAGAAAGGGAAATGTAAATTATGCCCAGGTATTACCTAGTTTCATGGAGAAAGGGCAACTAAACAAATATACATTCTTGTAAACAATGTTAATGTTTACTTTCCGTGTGTGTGTGTTCATGTGGATGTAGGCTTGGGTATGGCGGTTGAGAAAGAGAGTACAGATAGGCAGAATATTTATAGATTACTGAAAAGTACAGATTCCACGGAAAATCTTGCCTCCTCAGATAGTAAGGCATCATGTCTATCGATGATGTAAATGTCTAGCAGTAGTTGTTACCTTGACGGTCTAAGGCTACAATTTTATACATGTTTAGAGAGAAGAATGTCACACAACTCCCAGCATTCCCTAGGCAGGAAGCAATTGTAAGAGTTGTTGGACTTTTTTCTATCTAAACATGCATAGAATTGTGTCCTAAATGACTTGTATATTTATGATCAGAACATTTTCCATTGTCTTGTTTTGCCATTAATCTTGTAGTTGGAGCCAGGGAAATGGCTCCAAGAATGTGAGAGTTCTGAACAGGTGTCTGCCTCTCTGGGAGCGATGAAACCTGGCTGATCAAGGCTGCTGGAGTGGGCCAGGCCAGCTGGGGAGTGTAAGCTGTAAATGCTTGTGTGAAGGAAGTCTTCATTCCCAGTTCCTTAAACATGGTGGTTGTGAGACCATTACATCATACTGGATAATGGCCTAGCAGCCTCTGGTCTTCCTTCCTTTTTGGCATAAGTTCCTAGTGCTGGTGTATGTGTGTGTGAGAGAGAGAGAGAGGGAGAGGGAGACAGAGGGAGGGTAGGGAGAGAGTGGGGTGGGGGAGTGAGAAAGAGAGATTATTTGGTGCTTTTCCAGTGTGGGTTCAGGCTCAGGTTTGGGACTGAAACAGGCTCATCACCTTGGTAGATGTTCTAGGCAAGGACTGCTGGACCTCTCAGCAGTGCACAATGCTATTGGCTTATATGGGAAACTGGCTTCTGGCACATGTATTGTTTTGTTCTCAGCATTTCTGTTAATGCTGTTTTAATAATGCTTGAGCTTCCTATACAGCAAGCAGATTTATTCTTCACTCCATAGCATTGCAAACACACACACACACACACACACACACACACACACACACACACACACACAATGGCAGACCAAAAGCACTCAGCTGGCTAAATAACTTGAACCAGTGCTTGCAAGCAGTTCCTAAATAATAGAAGGGACATTACACCATGGGGGGAACCCTTTATATTCGGACTGGTCCATTCTGGTTGAATGGTCCCCAGCGGTGATGAAGGGGGATTACTGCTTGTCCCCTTGGGCATTTGCTCAAGGGGTTTCTTTGGGATCCATTTGATTACATTTTGCTCTTTAACATCTCAGGAAGCCTCTAAGAGAGATCATGGGGGATGGTGTCAAGTTTGGGTCTCATCATTATGCTGATGAAGCCAAGTCTACATCTCCTTTCCAACGGACACAAGGAGGCTGGAAACAGCTGCTGGGATAAATCAAATGTGGGCTAACAGGATGTTGATACGCCTTTGCAAGACAGAGGTCTTGAGACAGAGCACAACTTGTTCTGGACTGAATGCCCTTTGAAGGATATATTACGTACCTTAGGAGTGTTGCTGAGTCCTGCTTTTCCCCACAATGGTGGCCATGGCCAGGAGTGCTAGTTATTAGCTGCACCCCATTCTGGAGAAGACATGTGGCCACAGTGGTAAGTGCCCGGGACCCTTCCTGGTTAGACTACTTCAGCATGCTCCACATGGGTCTCCCCTTGCAGAACACTTGAAAACTGTAGTTGGTACAAAAAGCTGGGATCAGAATGGTTTCTAGTGTGCACTCATTGGCACTATTACATTGGCCTTACATCTCTTTCCCCTGCTTGTTTCCAGGCAAAATTCAAAGTTGTGTTTCTTGTTTATAAAGCCCTAAATAGCTCTGGCCAGCATATCTAAAAGAATGAGCGATGCCTATCATACGAACCTGCCTGTAATTTCTTCTGAGGACAAGTTACGTGCCCTTCCATCAAATGAGATTCAGTTGGTAGGAATCTGGGTCAGGGATTTGTTTTGGTGGTGGCACCCAAGCTTGGAAACTCACTTTTTAGGGAGGTTAGAAAAATCTCTCACAGTAAATTCACGCTCTGTTGGGCATAAAAATATTCCTGTTGTGCTCAGTGGTTTTGGGTTTTAGGGGGCTGTCTCCCCTTATTGCTTGGAAGGATTCTACTGTTATGTCTTTAATTTTAGTTGAGTTTTAAATTGTTTTAATATTTTTCTAGTATACTGCCCTGGGGGTTATCATTAAAATGTGATCTGAAGGTATTTTGAGATTGATGGAAAGAACCTTTCTGGCCCTAAGGGCTACCAGTGAATGGATTGCCTGTATTTCCCATGGGATGTTATCACTGTTTGAAGTTGATGGCATAATTTCTTTATTATCTTTCACTTTGTCCACAGCATTGTGTCTTGCCACTTCCCCAGTAAAATGGTGCACAACATCAACCGCTGAACAGGAAAAATGTTCAAACCTGCAGAGGTGCCTTAACAAGCAACAACTCCCAAATTTGCCACAGTTTGGCTGTGTGAGGAAGACTGATTATTTAGATTGCATAAGAGCAATCGCGGTAAGTGACCAGTGGAAGCCAGGCATGAATCCTGGGAACCTTCCCTGAGTTCATTGTGCAAGAAACATCTTACTTCCACAGGATAGAGCAAACTTCCAGTGGATTTCAGGAATGGATGACTTGAAAGATAGTTGCCCCCTGCCTTGGGAGAAGCGAGTGGGGACAAAAGTGGCAGCAAAGAGGGGGCAATTGACCAAATCCAGGTGCATCAGGGCATGAATTTGGAACAATGCAGGAATGCAATTGGAGAGAACCACCGACAGGATCAGGATGGTGACAATGGTAAACTAGACTTCATCCACTTAAGGTGCAACCCTATGCATGATTAAACCAACAACAGGTTTTACAAATACCAGCATACCCCCACCAGTTTGCCCCTGCCAGCACAGCTAGTGGGAACATGCTGGGAATTCAGAACTGCCCTCCCCCCATCTAAGCATATGCAGGATTGTGACCTTATTGGCTTTGCAGATCCTAGAACAGCGTACTTGATGAAACACACTGGTAGTTACTGGACCAATAAAATATTGGCAACGAAGGACCAGAAAGCAAATTCCCATTATACTAGACTGCTAATGACCTCCCTCCTTCCAACTCTCAGGCCCAGTTCTCAGATCAAAATGCCCCTACAACACTTCTCTGACTCTGGCACTGCAAAGAATACAAAAGAAAAAAGGGAGGAATTAGTTTGTACAAGTATCTGTTCAGCTAAGAGTTCCTCAACAGGGCGTTTTTCAGATGACAACTTCCATCAACATCAGGTTTGGGGCATGCTGGATGGGGATGCTGGGGCCTGGACTCCAATATATCTGTAGTCTCCCAGGTTGGGGAAGGCTCCTGCTGTCCCTAGTATTTATGCCACTTTTATGTCTAAGAGGAATAAGGAGGGTGTTCTCATTCATTCCTGTTATGTGTTTCCAGAACAAAGAAGCAGATGCTATTACTCTAGATGGTGGCCAGATTTTTGATGCAAACCTGCACCCTCACAACCTGAAGCCTGTAATAGCTGAAGTTTATCGTAGAATTGATGGAGGTAAATTTGATGATGCACATAAGAATGGGCATTGTGCCAACAGAATGCTAGTTGGAGATATGCAGCAAGTGCTAACATGAATTGAACTCGTTAGTTGAGGAACTGTCAAAGATTGTTAGCAGAAAATTCGGGGGAGGGGAAAGTAATGTACAGAGCTATTTTCTTTTGCGACAATCTAGCCCAGTGTTTTCTACTATGGCCAGCAACAGGCTCTCCACGGTCTCAAGCTGTCCTTTCGTAGCATAAGAAAGACCATGCTAGCTCAGGCCAAAGGTTCATTCAGTCCAGCAGTCCATTCAGATGGTGGCAGAGCGGCTGCCATTGGATCCCTGAAGCAAGAGGGGAGTAAGCATTGTGCCTACCTAAGCCCCTCAGCAACCGGTGTTCACTCCTAAGATCTGTTCACATGCAGGCCTCAGGGACTGACTTTGAGCACAAACACAATCCACTAGTGTTAGGGTATGCTGCCCTGCTCCATATTACAGATTCCTGTTGGCCCTGGGCATGGAGAAAGGAGGGTTCTGAGCCTGTGACGCTGGGAACACAACCTGATGGCAATGGCATGGACTGCACTAGAGGAAACCCTCGTGCCACATCAGCAGCAGATAGCAGTTAGAGGTGGTGGGAACTCTAGTTGGTATTCATGATTAGTTCTCGTGCTCTAGAAAAAGTGACATCGAAATTGGTCTCACACAACAACTACATTTGCCTTTTCTTTCTCTTCCTCTCAGATAAGCACAGCTACTATGCTGTAGCTGTGGTGAAGCAAAACACTACAAAGTCATTTGCGGATCTCAAAGGGAATAAATCTTGCCACACTGGCTGGGGCAGATCTGCAGGTTGGGTTGCTCCAGTGGGGATGCTTCTGGAGAAAAACTACACGATGTGGGAGGGAAAAGAAATAGAACCAGTGGAGAAAGGTAAGAGGTGCATGACAGCAAACAGAGCAGTGCTGCTGAAAGAACACAACATGCCTTGGAAAAGGTAATGCTCAGTAAGAGGAGGCAGATTAATCTACATCTGCTGTCATCGTTATCATCATCGATGGGGTTTTTTTTTTTTGTGTAGGGGTTCTCTGGTGAATGTTTTGGAAAATGTGTTTTTCAAAGTTTGAACTTTAAATTGTGCTCTTTTCTCCTAATACTTGCACGCTGTATATGTTTTACCTAATGTGCACATTTTTGCAAGTGGTTTTCCTAATGTAATACTTTTTAGAAAATTATTTTGTC